CCTGGGTCACCCTGCCCTCCCTCGTCTTCGTCATATGTCTCAGCACGGTCTTGTTCTAGGTCTCCCTCGGTCGTTCCCCACGCTCCCCTCCTCACCCGCGCCGCCATGCACCCCCTGTGTCGAGGGCCGGCTCCGCCGTGCCCCTCACTCCTCCTAGTTCCCCCCCACCACCGCACCCTTGCATACCCTGAACATGGACGTCTGGGGCCCTGCCCCCGTCCATGGGCGGCGTCGTGAGCGTTACTTCCTCGTCCTTGTTGATGACTACACTCGTTACACCACCGTGTTTCCCATGGAGTGGAAGGCCGACGTGCCTGACGTTCTTATCCTGTGGCTTGACTCTGCGCGTGTGCACCGAGGTCTCCCTGTGTTGCATCTCCACTCTGACCGCGGTGGCGAGTTCGCCTCTGGTTGCCTTGGGCGTTTTTGTCGTGCGGAGGGCATCACCCAGACGTTCACCTTGCCGGACTCTCCGCAACAGAATGGGGTCACTGAGCGACGCATCGGTTTGGTCATGGAGGTGGCTCGTACCTCCATGATCCATGCCGGTGCACCCCATTTTCTGTGGCCGTTCGCCGTTCGCTACGCCGCTCACCAGATTAACCTGTTGCCGCACCCTCAGCGGCTTAGAGGTTTCGCCAACCCTCCTCTGGACCGGGTCTCCTTTTGACGCGTCTACGTTCTACGTTCGTGCCTCTGGCATGGACAAGCTCATTGCCCGCACCGTCCCCTGTGTCTTCCTCGGTATCCCCCTCGACTCGTTTGACTGGCACTTCTACCACCCGTCTTCTTACCGCTTCCTTCACTCTCGTGACGTCACCTTTGACGAGTCCGTCTCCTTCTACCACCGCTTTCCACACCGTGGTCCCCCAGTTACCCTCTCCCTGTTCTTGGTTCCCCCTCCCCGGCTCGTCCCTACTTCCCCACCTCTCCGTCCTGCCCCGTCTGGTGTGTCTCACGTCACCCCCCTCCGGTCAGTTGTCCCAGGCGAGGAGTCTGCTGACTCTAGTGGCCCTGTGGCGCTGTCTTTGCCGCCTGCCCCCTCTCCAGTGTCTCCTCCTCAGCTATCGCAGCCGCAGCCGCCGTCGCAGCTACAGCCGCCGTTGTCGCCGCCGCAGCAGCCGTTTGTGCCCTCTGGGGGTGCTGGAGTTGAGGAGGGTGCTAGTCCTGGGGTTCCTGGCGTGGCGTGCCCCAGTGGGTCTGGTGGTGGTGCCGGTGCTGAGCGGGTCTCTGGTTCTGGGGGTGTTCCTTCTGGGGGTGCTGGAGTTGACTATTCTGGAGGTAGCCGTGGAGCAGCTGGCGGTCCAGGTGTTAACGTCGTGCAGTCGCAGCAGCAGAGGTCGCCACCGGTGTCCGCCCTCCGCCTGCTCGGCCTTCCCTCCCCTGACCGCGTATCTGCTCCTCTCCTACCATCTCCTCCTCTTCCTGTCTATGGCCCTGTGTTCCCTTCTCCGGACTCGTCTCCCACTAGGCTTCTCCCTCGTTCCCCTCCTGTGTCTCCTCTTCTGTCTCCTAACCCGATGCCTCCGTCTCTCGTCTGGTCTCGCCATCCCTCCCGTACTCGTCCTACCTCCCCTGTTCCGCGTTCTCACCCTATGTTGCTTCGCTCCCACGCGTCTCGTCCTCCCCTCCTCTCGTCGCCTCCCCCGTCCTCACTTGTTGTCGCACCTCCCCCTATGTGTGACTACCTTCGTGCCGCTCGTCCTCTTCTTCCCGGGGTCCTTGCCTCCCTTGTTACCGACCCGTCTGTTCCTGTTTCGCGTCTTGACATGCTTGTCACTGCTGTCGCTGACTTTGCCTCTACCCGCCGGCTTGACTACGCCACCGCTCTGGTCTCTGACCCCTGCCTGTCCTCCGTCCATCACGGGTGGTTCTGCCCTCGGCACTGACCTCCTGGAAGACCGGCAATACAAGCTTGCTTTCGTGTCTGAGGCCGCTCCCCATCTCTGCTCCATGCTACTCGTCCCTGAGGGTGACCCAGACGCCTTCGACATCCCAACCCCTCGCACCTACGCTGAGGCCACCTCGGGACCCTGGGCCTCTCAGTAAATAGCTGCCATGGAGCAGGAGATGGCATCTTGGAGATCCACCGGCACTTACGCCGATGCGGTTCCCCCACCCGGGGTGAACGTAGTCGATAGCCGCTGGCTCTTCAAGGTGAAGCGCCCCCCTGGAGAGCCGCCTGTGCTAAAGGCGCGCTACGTCGCTAGAGGATTCAGTCAGCGGGAGGGGGTGGACTTCTTGCAGACCTTCGCCCTGACCCCAAAGATGACTACTCTTCGTGCGCAGCTACACGTAGCAGCACAGCGTGACTACGGGCTCGACTCCCTCGACTTCTCCACAGCGTTTCTTCAGGGCAGCCTACACGAGTAGGTCTACCTGCGCCGCCCTCAGGGCTTCACTGGAACCTTCCCTCTTGGGATCCAGTGGCTCCTGCGGCACCCAGTCTACGGCCTGCGACAGGCACCCCGTGAGTGGCACAACACGCTACGTGCCACCCTAGCTGACCTGCAGTTCTTTCTGTTCTCTGCCGACCCCTCGCTCTTCGTTCGGGCTGGGCAGACCCCATTCTACATCCTTGTTTACATAGACAACCTGGTCTTTGCTACTGTAGACAGAGATGCATTGGCCTTCGTGAAGGCAGAGCTGCTGAAGAGACACACCTGCACTGACCTACGAGAGCTGCGCCACTACCTTGGCCTGCAAATCTCCAGGGACAGAGCAGCACGCACCATCACTCTCTCACAGCCACACTTGGTGCGCCAGGTCCTTTAGCGGTTCGGTTTTCAGTTCTCCTCTGTACAGCCCACACCTCTGCCAGTAGACCACAGGCTCTCAGCTCCTATCCCTGAGGAGTCAGTAGAGCCCAGTGGTCCTTACGCAGAGCTGGTGGGTTGCCTCATTACCTGATGACCTGCACTCACCCGGATCTCGTATACCCTCTCAGAATCCTGGCTCGCTTTGTGGCCACAGGCAGACACCGACCACAGCACTGGTCAGCCGCTAAGAGGGTTTTGCGTTATCTTGTGAGTACATCGGGCATGGGGCTAGTGCTCGGAGGACCCAGGCTAGTGGTCCTTACTGGGCACACAGACGCTTCTTGGGAAGACGACGCTGAGACCCTCAGGTCCTCCAAGGGCTACTCCTTTAGCCTAAGCTCAGCTGTTTTCTCGTGGAGATCTTCTCACTCCTCGTCTGTTTCCCAGTCCAGCTGTGAGGCTAAGATCTACGCCGGTGCCATGGCGGCACAGGAGCTCCGCTGGCTGACCTACTTGCTCACCAACTTAGGTGAGCGGCCTAGCTGTGTGATCCTCCTAAGTCAGGAGCCTCGACTTGAGGGCAGAGCGAAGCACATCCAGTTGCGGTACTTCCCCCTGCGAGAGCTACAGGAAAGCCGCCGGGCCCACGTAGTGCACTTGGCCTCAGGTGCCAACACGGCTGATATCTTTACGAAGGCACTTGCGCCTAAAGATCATCAGCGGTACTGTGTACAGCTTGGTCTTGTACCCGTAGCCTCTCACTTGCTAGGGCGTTGATTGTGTACAGACCTTTATATATATATTACTCTTACTGGCCTTGTGGCCTCTCCCAGTGGCTGAACTAGTAGTGCCACCCTGGTCTTGCTCTTGTCTTGGTTTGTACTCGTTTGACTGGTCTTTAGACCCCTGTCTCAGAGGCTGGACTAGTAGTGCCACCCTAAGCTGCTTGTCTGTAAGAGTACGACCCTGTTCCATTCTTTTCTCCTTTCCATATTCCCTTTCCATTGCATTCCTCCTTTTATCCTGATCCATTTGGTTTTTATCTCATTCCATTTGGATTCCTATTTCTCCTTTTCCATAAACCCTTGGTTTGTCCTATTATTATCATTATATCACCGACCAGGCTTGGGGTGTACTCGCACGCTATATCTAGCGTAATCCTGCCGTAATCCCTTAAAGCCAATAGCCTCGCGTGGCTATACGCTAGGTGATTCTATTTTCTAAAAGGGTCTATTCCCTTGGGATAAGATAAACATGGTTACCTGATGTACTTTGGAAGTATAAACGCACCTTGTACTGATCGATGGTACAACCTTTCCTTGACACATTCGATCCTGTGACACTTGGTAATCAGAGCTTTTCTCACTCGGCCGCGCTCACCTAAGCAGCCGCAGCGGGACTCCCACCTCTAAAAACCGCCCGGGGCGACCAATTCGACGCCGATTCTGGTAAGCACCAGCTCCGCGCTTTTTCGAATTACCACCCTCGCGTGTGTCTTGAACAGGATGGCAAACTTCAATAACGTCGAGGCTACCCAGCAGCTCTTCGCGCGCATCGCAGCCCTTCAGGAGGAGATGTGAGCGTATCGCGAAGCGTGGCGAAATGAGTTCGAGCGAGTAACTCGACTCGCCGGAGCGCAGCACGAAACGACAACGGCGATGATGCAGCAGTCGCAGCAGTTTCTCGAGGCTCCGGAACCACGCCCACTTGAGCCGTTCAATCCGAGCGATCGAAACTCCGACGCCCGCAGATGGATCGCCGGGATGGAGATCTACTTTGCAGCCGTTGGATGGAGCTCGCCAGTCTGGGACGGTCAACGCGTATGACTCGCAGCGACGCTAGTGCGAGGACCGGCACTCGAGTGGATCGGCGGTAACAGCACTTTCATCCACGGAGAAGCCACGTGGCAGCAGTTCCGCACTGATCTGCTGAAACGTTTCGAGCCGATAAATTCAGGTTTCCTTGCCCGGGAAAAAATTCATCGCCATCGACAGTTCGAGAGTGTAGCGCAGTACATGCAGCAGATGGAGGAATTTTACAACCGCATTCCCGACCTGACCGAAGGGGAAAAAGTTCAGTTGTACCTCGCCGGGCTGAAGACCGAAGTCAGTGGCAGCGACAAACTACGCGAGCTACAGTGACGTCATTTCGGCAGTGGAACGCTTCGACATGGTCAACGCCGGAACACGATGGGCGCACGTCGGCAGTACGCGACAGGGCGACTGCTCGGCTCACCCCACGTTTGCCGATCCGATGGAAGTCGACAGGTTCAAGGGCGGCCATGTCCGAAAAACACCAACTTCACGTGTGATTTTTGCAGAGTGCCGGGTCATCGAATCTTCGACTGCAACAAAATGAAAGCCGCACGCGCTGAGTATCGGGCACGCAACAATGGCGGAAATCCTTTGGCCAATCAGAAGCCAAAAAACGGGACTCGCCAGTGATTGCGGATCTGGCTGGCGAAAAACAAAAGATCCGAAAGCGGCTGCGGACTTCCGGAAAAATCAACTTCGACGCAGCTGATTCGACGCGAACAGGAGAAAATGATGGGGAAAAATCTCCACCCCACGACCGGTCTTCGCTAGAGGAAATCGCCGAGGAAAAATCTAACTCCACGAAAAAGGACTCTGCCAAGACGGGGAAACTCCTTGAAGACCCAAGAAATTATTAGGATTCGTTAAAGTTATCTTATAAAGATGCTTTAATGAAAACTTGTCATTCGCGAGGGGCTAGAGCCTTGGAGAAAATTCAGGAGGGACTCCAGAAGAAGCAGAAAATTGTGGAGATCATACCGGTACCGAAGAACTTGGGGACCAAATTAAGGAGTATGGAAAGAAGCCGCTCTTTCCAAAGAGTCAACGTCCTCTCCCGACACCAGCCCACAACGACCACCCGTTCCCTAGGGAAGACGTCGACAGGGCTGAAGCAGCTCAAAAAGAAGCTGGGGGTCTACAAGAAGCTGCAAAAACCCCGAACTCCTTCTTCTTCGGATGCATCCAACTCGGCAACTTCGTCAACGACACGAACAATCGTCACAGAAACTCCGGGCCCTGGAGAAGAGCCTTTCTCCAAGCAGTCTCGGCCAGCTGCCAGCTCAGGAGTAGGAAGCAACGAATATTCGGATGTACCCTATGACCCAATAAATGAAAATATCTTTGGGTACTCCGAGCAACGCCTGCCCCTCATGCTCGAGGTCATCTGCAAAGGACGACGCCTCCAAGCACTCGTGGACAGCGGAGCATCGTACACCGTATGCGACAAGGCAACCATCGACCAACTTCGAAAAAGAGTACAAGCCATCAGCGTTTTCTGAAACGATAGTGGACGGCAGCAAGTTACCAGTGTATGGCGAAGCAGTGCTACACCTACAAATTGGACCACTGCGCTGGAAACCTGCTCTCCCCATCACCAATATAAAAGGGCTTGACCTGATCTTCGGGCGAGACTTCCTCAAGAAATTCAACATCGAGATCAAGTGGGTAAACTGCACCACAAGCATCTACAACAAAGGAAAGAGAGTCCAGCTACCCAACTGGGACGATACAGGAGATATCCCAGTGGAGACACTCGCCAGATTCGAGAAGGGCGTAAAACGAACCAACACCGCGTTCCTGGCGATAGCAACAGAGGTGGGGAATGACGGAGAGAAAGCCTCGGAACCACCAGAAAAAATCAAGGACTTACTGAAGGAGTTCCAAGACATTCTTTCCGACGACCTCTCGGACGAGCTACCGCCATACCGAACGCACCAACACGAGATCGTGGAGGAACCAGGTTCGAAGCCAACCTTCCGAGCACCATATCGGCTAAGCCCCACCGAGCTAGCCGACATGAAGAAACAGATCGAGTATCTCCTCGCCAAAGGACTCATCCGACCATCCACTTCGCCATATGGTGCCCCAGTATCTTTACACCGAAACCGGACGGAAGCCTGCGCATGTGCATCGACTACCGAGCTCTGAACAAGCAGACCATCAAGAACAAATACCCGATTCCACGAATCGATGACCTGCTTGACCAGCTTCGGGGAGCCACGGTATTCTCAAAACTAGATCTGCGGTCCGGATACTGGCAGATACGAATGACAGACGAGTCTCTCCACAAAACTGCTTTCCGAACTCGGTACCGATAGTACGAGTACCTGGTAATGCCGTTCGGACTCACCAACGCACCAGCAACGTTCCAAGCAGAGATGAATCACACCCTACGCCCACTCTTGGACGAATGCGTGGTGGTGTATCTGGACGATATTCTCGTCTACTTGCGCGACATGCAACAACACGTCGAGCACCTACGACGCGTCTTCGAGATTCTTCGACGAGAACGCTTCTACGTCAAACTATCCAAGAGCGAATTCGCCTTCGAGAAAGTCCAATTACTCGGACATATCGTAAGCACTCAAGGAGTTCACGTCAGCCCCATGAAAATCGAAGCCGTGCGTACGTGGAAGACACCCAAAAATATGAAGGAGTTACAGCAGTTCCTTGGCTTCACTAACTACTACAACAGGTTCGTGCCACAATACGCGAAAATCGCTGCACCACTCACGAATCTGCTGAAATAGAACACGCCCTACATATGGGAGCCACAACACCAGGAAGCTGTGGAGCAACTGAAGCAAGCACTCACGTCCACACCTGTACTCATCTAGCCACACCCCGAACGCGACTATGTCATCGAAGCTGACGCCAGTGACCAGGCGGTGGGAGTAGTCTTAATGCAAGACCAGGGGAATGGACTGCTACCAATCGCCTACCTCAGCAAAAAATTACACGGGGCAGAACTCAACTACCGGATACACGACAAGGAGGCCCATGCTATCATCATCGCCTTCAAAACGTGGAGATGTTATCTCGAAGGACGCAAAACAACAGTCTACACCGACCATTGCAGCCTGAAGAATTTGAGGATGCAACCAAGCCTCTCCAGGCGACAGGTTCGGTGGATCGACTTCCTCGAGACGCACTTCCACTACGACATCGTGTACAAGCCTGGCCATAAAAACAAATCCGATGTGCTTAGCCGGCCTGCACACATTGCCGCGATCCAGGTTGAAGGGATGAATCCACTCCTCAAGGGACTCTTCACACACGGGTACACCATCGACCCCGAAATTCCCTTGGCAGAAAAGCGACATCTGCTACAGTGGGACAACGACATCGCGTACCGGAAAGGATCAACGAAGATCTGGGTACCTAATTACCCTCCATTGCGCCAGTTACTACTCGAAGAATACCACGACGTCCTGTATGCAGGACACTTTGGTAGCAACAAGACGCTCACCGGTATCGCCAAACACTACTACTGGACCCACATGGCAGATGACGTACAGAAATTCGTCACCTCGTGCACTACATGTCAGTGGATGAAGAGCAGCAAGCAGAAAAAGGCAGGTCTACTACAGCCTCTTCCTATCCCAGAACAGCCATGGCAAGTGGTCAGCCTAGACTTCATCACCGGGCTACCAACTACCACAAGCGGTCATGACGCGATCCTCGTCGTCATTGACAAGTTCTCCAAAATGGGACACTTCATCCCTAAACACATGACAACACGCACCGAGGAGACGGCACAACTCTTTGTTCGCTACATCATCTCACAACATGGCATTCCAACCACACTCATCTCCGACCGAGACCCTAAGTTCACCAGTAAATTTTGGAAAGAACTGATGTCTCTACTTGGAACCAAACTCGCCATGTCATCCGCCTACCATCCGCAGACAAATAGACAGACCGAGCGCCTCAACCAAATTGTGGAGCAACTCCTCCGCACAGACTGCAAAGACGAAATCTCCAAATGGGACTTGCATCTGCCCGTCCGGGAGTTTGCCTACAACAATGCTATTCATGCCACTTTTGTCAGACGCCGTTCTTCCTCTGTTACGGACGCCACCCACTCACACCTCAACAGCCAAACATACCAGCCACAGTCCAACCCGCTCATGATTTCATGACGACCATGCACAATCTTTGGGATCGGACCCACAAGCGCTTTCTCGACATTCAGCAACAACAGAAGCGCCACGCCGATCACCACCGCACAGACCAGACTATCACCATGGGAGATCGAGTACTACTCGACACGCGCAATCTTGATAGCAGTCATCTCCCATCCAAACTGCGACCTCGCTTCTGCGGGCCTTTCCTCGTTGAAGCACATGTCACTTCTGTTACCTTCCGCTTATGCCTGCTAGCTACCTAGAGGATTCACAACGCCTTCCATGTCCAACTCTTGAAGCCCTACCGAGATCCCAACACGGTCTTCTCTGGATGCCAACCGCCGCCGCCGCCGCCGCCGCTGCCCGTCCTCGTCCATGATGAACCCGAGTACGAGGTCGAGTCCGTGCTTGCTCACCGACATTGACGGAATGGCAACGTGGAGCCTCTCATCCATTGGAAGGGTTATGATCCTTCAGAGGATAGCTGAGTCTCTTAATCCGAGATGGATCACGCTTGTCGTCCCCTTCGCGACTACCTTGTCAAGTAGGGTGTCATGTCTACCACCCAGCTTTGAGAGGGGGAAGTGTGAGAGTACGACCCCATTCCATTCTCTTCTCCTTTCCATATTCCCTTTCCATTTCATTCCTCTTTTTATCCTGATCCGGCATTGGAAACACAGGACCGTGAACAGGAAGAGGGGGAGACGGCGAGGGAGGCGCAGGCGAGTAGTCAGGGGAGGGAAGGCCGAGAAGGCGAAGGGCGGACACGGGCGGCGACTGCTGCTGCTGCTGCTCAACGCCGACACCTGGACCACCAGCTGCACCACTGCTACCTCCCGTACACTCCACGCCAGCACCCCAGAAACGTCTCCAGCGCCGGTGCCACCCCCGAGCCCACCGGGACAAGCCATAGCAGGAGCCCCTGGACTCGCACCCTCTCCAACTCCAGCACCCCCAGATTCCACGAATGGTTGCGGCTGCGACGACGGCTGCGGCTGTGGCGGCAGTAACAGCGGCAGCTGCAGTGGGGGTTGCGGCTGCGGCGACGGCTGCGGCTGCGGCGCCGACTGCGACGAGGGAGGAGGAGACACCGGGGGAGGGACAGGCGGCGCAGACTGCGCCGCGGGGCCAACGGAGTCAGCCGACTCCTCGACTGGAACAATTGACAGGAGGGGAGTGACGTGATGTTATAATCACAATAGGCTCAGATGTGCCTAAAATGAGTGAAAATGTGCACAGTCAGAATTCCGTCAGCCAGCTTCAAATATTGATGCCGATCTGATGTGTGCCTTAAACGGTGATCTGTAAATTGGATCTAGAGCGCGTTGTTGTCGCCTATCAGCAGCAAGTTGAATCATAAAATTCCATCAAGATTTGACGACGCTATGGCGGTTTGACTGGCAGGAGGTATAGCAGCCACTATAGTCTTAGGAGTACAAAAAACTTAGGAAGAAGAATTCGAGAGGGAGATGGTTCCCAGCCTCTACATACCCCAAGAGCCGAGGTCCAGGTTGGTGGTACACCACCACAGATTCCCCAACCACGAAGAGTCTCAAAACAAACCCTCCAAGGGGCTACACCAAGTGAAATGTAACACTAGACGAAGTAGCGTTACTATTTTCACTATTTAATATTTATCCGCGTCCCTTGGGCTTGAAATCTTGAGCTCTTGGTCTTGGTTCTTCAAGATAAATTCTTCTTGAGTTGATGGGGGCTTGCTGCACACACCTGCGACACGATGGACACTTCACACTTGACAAAATAGAAAAACACATGCGACACGCAAACGACGACTTGACATGCGAGTTGTAAAAACTCACTAATGTCTTGACCGACACACACCACATTGTGAGACACCATTCAAACACACACACAAGCACTAGATAGCAATGACATAGACTCACAAGTCATTCCATGCCATGCATGCACACACACAAACACGGACGACAAGCCGAGTGCAAGCCATAGGGTTGCACCAACAAACTCCCCCTCGGATTGTTGGCCTTAGAATCTGCTCCCCTTAGTTCAGAGCCATCCCAGCAAGCTTGCAACACTTCCAATGCTGCTGCTCAACCAGCCTCTTGGTCATCATATCAGCAGGCTGCGCCGTCGTCTTCACGTAGTGCAACTCCACTTCACCCGCGGTTACCATGCTCCTCACCCAATGCCACTTCACCTTCATGTGCTTGGTAAGGCCATGAAGAACGGGGTTCTTAGCCAATGCAATAGCACCCTGGCTATCACAGTAGAGGGGGGTAGGTCCTTGCTGCTCCTCCCCCAATTCAGCTAGCAAACGCCGCTGCCACACAACCTCTCTTATGGCACGGAAGAGTGCCATGTACTCGGACTCCACCGAGCTCAATGCTTGGTCCACTTGTTTCTTGCTCTCCCAAGCTGTTGGTCCTCCACCAACACAGCAGATGAAGCCTCCCACACTTGTCATGTCCTCTGGTTCTGATGCCCAAGATGCATCAGAGAAGGCGGTGAGAAAGAGCCTCCCGGGTTCGACTCCATCTGCACCCTTTTGACGCCTTTGTGCCGCCGCGGAGTATTGCAGTCCAACAGTTGCTGTTTGGCCAAGGTACTTGGCCACCCTCTCTCCAGCTGCTACCTGCTCTTCATTAGGGCATTGGACAACCCTAGCTAGCTGTCCGGTAGCAAAGGCTGCATCCGGCCTTGTGTGAACGGCCGCATACATGAGGCTGCCCACCAAGGAATGAAAACGGCGCCTCTCCTCTTCACCAACACTTTCCTCCGCTCGTCCTTTCACACACTTGAACCCTGAGGGTAGAGGAGTAGCCACATGACCTTCACTCTTCCCAAAGTTTGCAGCCAAGGCCTCCAAGTACTTCTTTTGATGCACTCGCATCCACCGCTTCTCCACATCTCGCTCAATGTGAAGCCCAAGGTAGTAGTTGACGTCACCAAGGGTCTTGCACTTGAACTTGTCTTGAAGCTTCAGCATCACCTCCTTCACAAGGTCAGAGGAGGGTGAGAATATGAGGATGTCATCCACATAAACCACCATGAAGCTCCTCTGCTCCCCCTCGCCAAGCATGAATAATGATTGATCGGCCGTTGAGGGAGTGAAACCGATCGCCTCCAAGACTTCCCGCAGCTTGATGTACCATTGCCTAGGGGCTTGCTTGAGGCCATAGAGTGCTTTCTTCAGCTTCCACACTCTGCCACTCCCATCATTGTACCCCTCTGGCTGCTCCATGTAGGTCTCTTCCTCCAAAACTCCGTTGAGGAAGGCCGTTACGATATCCATTTGCTTCACCACCCATCCTTTGATGGCCGCCGCGGCGAAGAGGGTTCGAAGGGTTGTACCCTTCACCACAGGAGCATATACTTCATTGTAGTCCTTCTTCTCCTGCTGCTGGTACCCCTTGGCTACAAGTCTGCTCTTGTAGCGCTCAATGTTGCCGTCAGCGTCGGTCTTGCGCTTGAAGAGCCACTTGGAAGAGATCGCCTTACGCCCCGGAGGTAGGTTCACCAAGTCAAACGTGTCGTTCTCGATGATGCTCCCCATCTCTTCATCTGAGGCCTTCTTCCAGTCCTTCCCATTGGGGCCCTCCCAAGCCCCCTTGGGATTTGTAGGCTCCCCCGATATCTCCACCGGAGAGAAGAAGGCAAAAGCGCACTCCTCGCTTTCATCTTCCGCATCATCGCCTAGCATGAGAGCTGAACCGGTCAAGGTTGAGTTGGCTGCTCCTCCAAGCCATTCATAGCTCAACCTATTGGGGGGCTGAGTCCTCCTTCTCCCCCTTCCTTCCTCCTCTACTGCAGGGACTTGGATGCTCTCATGGCGTTGCTGCAAATCTGCTCGGTTCCCGCGAGCACTTGTAGCACGAGGCGGAAGTGACGGTGTACGCTCATCACCTTGCTGCACCTCCTCCTCCTCTTCTCCCCCATTCATTTGAGGAGATTGCCTTGTGATAGTGCTGCTGCTACTCAGCTCCAAGGGCAGCTCCACATGCTCCAAGCCGGTACTCTATACCTCTCCAAGCCGCACACCAATCTTCGCTTGGTTCTCCGCCTTCCACTCCTTGTACGGTAAGTTCTCCATGAACTTGCAATCTCTGCTCACCAGGAACTTCTTGGTAAATGGGTCCCATAGAAGCCATCCCTTGCTGTTTTGAGCCATGCCCAAGTGCACGGCCCATGTTGCCTTGGCATCAAGCTTGTTGTGCCGAAGTTTCTTAGGCACAAGTGCCATGCACATGCACCCGAACACCCGAAGCATATCCACCTTCGGCTTCCTTCCAATCCACTCCACATAGGGCACCCATTTGTCTTCTCCCACGTGAGTCAAGGCTCTGTTCTTGGCCACACAAGCATGCCGCACCGCATCCGGCCAAAAATAATTGGGAAGACCGGCTTCAATGAGAAGTCCCCGAGCCGTCTCCGTAAGTGTCCGATTCGCACGCTCGGCAATGCCGTTCATTGCAGGAGAGTAGGGCATGGTAAGAGAGTGCCTTATGCCCTGCTTCTTCAGCCAAGTTGAGAAGTCCTTGCTCAGGAACTCTCCCCCACGGTCAGTGCGAATCGCCTTCACAAGTCGGTCTTGTTGCCGCTCCACCATCGGCAACCAATCGGTCTTCACCGTTTCAGCCACGTCACTCTTCTTGGGCAGCACATATACCCAAGTCATGCGAGTGTAGACGTCCACAATGGTGAGGAAGTACTCAGCTCCAGCAGCTCCAAGCTTCAAGGGGCCCACCACATCCATCACCACCTCATCAAGTGGTGCCTTCGCCGTTGTCTCCGAGCTATGGAACGGGTAGTGGGTGAACTTGGCTTGCATGCATGTTGGACAGCCAAGCACCTCATTGGGCTCCCCTTTGACACGTATCCCACTGACCATGTCTTGCTTGACTATCTGCTGCAAAATGGGCAATGCCACATGCCCCATTCGCCGATGCAAGGTCAGCCAATCACACTCTCCCGTAGCGGAGGTCGGGTTGGAGAAAGCAGCACTCGCAATTGTGCCCCACAAGCTCTCTCCTTTCTCCTTCGCCGCTGCTGCTTTGCTGATCTTATGATTCTCCTCCTCATTTCCACCACCTTTGGCTGCTGCACCACTCTCCTTGGATTCACATGCCTTGCTGGTCTCTCCAAGATTGCACTCGTTCGAGTCACTCTTGGTGTCACTTTGCTTTCCGTGATCACCGCCACCAACCGCTTCACTCTTGGTGCTGATGCTTGCTGCCACTTGCCTCTCCTTAGGCATGGGGACCACTGGGATTTGCCACATCTCATTGTAGATGTCCCTGTCCTCATGAAGGTCCCAAAGCTTCCGCTCACCAAGCCGCGCGGTATAAGTTTTGGATCCCTTGGAAGAAGTGTCCATGCCGGCCTTTTGCAAACGCCGCACAGAAATCAGGTTGGCTGCAAGTTTGGGCACCAAAAGCACGTTCTTGAGGCCCACCATCTTCCCATCAGCACCCTTGAACATGGCCTTGCCCATGCCTTTCACCTCTGCTCGCTGCCCCAAAGCCGATGTGACATGCTTGACCGGCGACGGTTCGAGTTCGGTGAGCAAGTCCGCACGAGGTGTCATGCTATAGGTGGCGCCGCTATCGATCACCCAAAAGTCCAGAGAGTGAAGGGTGACCTTTCCCACAGTAGCTGGCTCCTCAAAGCCTTCCACACCTCCTGCTGCAGCTGCCGCTTGCGTGGAGACAAAGAAGAATTGGCCCGGGTATCGATCTTCACTCGGGCCCGTCTCGTAGTCTCCACCTTTCATGCATGCCGCTTCGCTTCCACGACCACCACGGCCTCCACGACCTCTGCCTCTTCCTCCCCTTGCTCCTCTGCCCTCTTGGCCTTGAGAAGGGGTCCATCCATCAGGCAATCTGTAGCAATCTCTCCACATGTGGCCGGTCTTGTGGCAAAAGTGGCATTCGCCATCAAATCGACCGTGCCCACGCCCGTAGCCATTGTTGCTGTTGTTGCTGCCATATCCTCCATTACCACGGCCTCCATTGAAGTTGCTGCTGCCAAATCTTCCTCCTCGCCCTCTGCCCCTTCCACGGCCGTGCCCACGGCCCATGCTTGCAACTCCGGCACCATCGGTACCCGCCAATTCACGACGACGGAAATCTTCTTGTAAGATATCCCGCTTCACATCTTCGAGCGAGAGGCGGGGCAGATCTCGATTTAGGTTGATGATGAGCGAGGACCATGAGTCCGGAAGCAAGGCCAGCAGCTTGGTCCTCTTTTGTAGGTCACTGTAGTTCAGGTCAGCTCCTTCAAGCCGTGTCAACAAGTCGAAGAATTTCTGCACTCCGTCCTCCACCGGTTCGCCTTCGTCAATTCGAAGGGCCGCCATTTGCCGCTCCAAAACCACAGCCACCGCCGCTGTTGCAGGAGCGTGTACACCCTTGAGAGCAGCCCATGCCTTTGGTCCCTTTGCTGGTTCACGCTGAAAAGGCTTGATGTGACGGATTTGGCTGCTCCCCAACGCTTGCCCAAGTAGAAGATAGCCTTGTGCGCTCTTCCGCACCCACGGACTCTTCTCCGGGTCGTTCTCGGGGCGCTTCTCCGTTCCTTCCATCACCTCCAGCAGATCATAGTGGTCAAAGATGTTCTCCATCTTGAAGGACCACTCAGCAAAGTTGTCACCGTTGAACTTGTCAAGGCCAAACACTCTAGGCTCATCCCTAGAGGGGCCAAGGCTAGGTTGCACGGGAGCCATGGGTGGATCTTGGTGTTGACCTTGTGCTTGGGCGTCTTCTCTGCCTCCAGCACCTCTGCCACCCCCTTCCTCAGGTCTAGGCATGGTCGAGACAGCTCCAAGGGGCTCTGATACCACTTGTTATAATCACAATAGGCTCAGATGTGCCTAAAATGAGTGAAAATGTGCACAGTCAGAATTCCGTCAGCCAGCTTCAAATATTGATGCTGATCCGATGTGTGCCTTAAACGGTGATCTGTAAATTGGATCTAGAGCGCGTTGTTGTCGCCTATCAGCAGCAAGTTGAATCATAAAATTCCATCAAGATTTGACGACGCTATGGCGGTTTGACTGGCAGGAGGTATAGCAGCCACTATAGTTTTAGGAGTACAAAAAACTTAGGAAGAAGAATTCGAGAGGGAGATGGTTCCCAGCCTCTACATACCCCAAGAGCCGAGGTCCAGGTTGGTGGTACACCACCACAGAGTCCCCAACCACGAAGAGTCTCAAAACAAACCCTCCAAGGGGCTACACCAAGTGAAATGTAACACTACACGAAGTAGCGTTACTATTTTCACTATTTAATATTTATCCGCGTCCCTTGGGCTTGAAATCTTGAGCTCTTGGTCTTGGTTCTTCAAGATAAATTCTTCTTGAGTTGATGGGGGCTTGCTGCACACACCTGCGACGCGATGGACACTTCACACTTGACAAAATAGAAAAACACATGCGACACGCAAACGACGACTTGACATGCGAGTTGTAAAAACTCACTAATGTCTTGACCGACACACACCACATTGTGAGACACCATTCAAACACACACACAAGCACTAGATAGCAATGACATAGACTCACAAGTCATTCCATGCCATGCATGCACACACACAAACACGGACGACAAGCCGAGTGCAAGCCATAGGGTTGCACCAACACGTGAGACACACCAGACAGAGCAGGATGGGGAGGGAGGGGAGGAGGAGCGACTGGGGGAGTGGGAACCAAAAACAGGGGGGGGGGGGGGGGACCGGGAGACCTCGGTGAGGAAAGCGGTGGAAAAAGGAGACAGACTCGTCGAAAGTGACGTCACGAGAGTGAAGGAAGCGGTGAGACGGCGGGTGGTAGAAGTGCCAGTCCGACGAGTCAAGGGGGAAACCGAGGAGACGGTGCGAGCAGTGAGCTTCTCCATGCCGGAGGCATGAAAGTGAGCGAGGCAGCCCCAGACGTAGAACGCAGTCGCGTCACCAGGGAACACGGTCCAAAGAAGGGTCGGCGAAACCAGCGGCCGCTGAGAGCGAGGCCAAAGGTTAAGCTGGTGAGCGACGTAGTGAACGGCGAACAGCCACAGAAAATGGGGTGCACCGGCATGGATCATGGAGGTACGAGCCACCTCCATGACCAAACCGATGCGTCGCTCAGCGACCCCATTCTGCTGCGGGGAGTCCGGTAGGGTGTACGTCTGGGTGACACCCTCCACACAATAGAACTGACCCAACCAACCAGAGGCGAACTCGCCGCTACGGTCGGAGTGGAGACACAACACAGGGAGACCGCGGTGGAGGCGCGCAGCAACGAGTTACGGGATAAGAACGTCAGGCACGTCGGCCTTCCGCTCCAAGGGAAACACCGTGGTGTAGCGCGTAAAGTCGTCAACGAGCACCAGAAAGTAGCGCTCGCGACGCGGTCCAGGGACAGGGGCTGGGCCTCAGATGTCCAAGTACAGGGTCTGAAGGGGTGCAGTGGCAAGGCGAAGTGAGGAGGAGTGAGGAGCACGGCGCAGCCGGCCCTCGACGCACGGCGTGCACGGCGGCGCAGGTGAGGGAGGGAGAGCAGTGAGCGACGTAGGGAGGCCGATGACTAGAATGTGCTGAGACATGTGACGCAGGCGGGGGAGCGCGGGGTGACCTAGGCTGTGGTGCCACAACAGTGACGGGTGAGTGAGCGACCGGCACGAGCAGGCTGCAGCTACCTGGGTGGACGCAGAACCGGAGGAGGACTCGCCCGCCGGGGGGGGGAGCAGTGTCCAGCGTAAACAGGCCAGGCACAGGGTCCGAGGGGAACGTCGCAAGGGGGGCACTTGAGGCGGCCTCAGAACAGACCGCGTACCGCTCGTGACCAGGGAACGTAGTTGTGACGCCGAGGTCCTGAAGACAGTCAACACCAACTAAGTTCCCGGAGAACGAAGGGATGTGAAGGCCTGTAAGGGAACTCGAGGGAACCGCCGGACAGGGAAGGGTAGCGTAGCTGCGAGCAACTACAGGACCAGAGAAAGGGTCCGCAAGGGCGACAGCGGCAGGCGCAGAAAGAAACAGGCTGACTCACCAGAGTCTAGAGTTAAGGACAGCGACGCTGTAGTGGCCGACGACGGAGGAGCAAGGGTAGAGCCTAGGCTCTGATACCATGTTGAGACTAGAAAGAATGAATAGAAGAAGGGAGAACAGGGGACATATAGCGTTTGGGTTGTACCCCCACAGAACAGACCCTATCTAGCCTATAACTTCTACATAACAATACATTATATGTATAAGTTGACATCAACCACATAAAACCAACTGGCGTCGAAAATTTACTGTGCATATTCATGCTTGTCTGAAAATCTGCTCGCCTGAAAAGAGGTTTTAAAATACGCCCCTGAATCTTGGGAAGCTGAATCTCCCTTCGCACTTCGCGAAATCGCACTAAAACATTTCGCGTCAAAATTTGCGACAGTGTAGCACGCGAGTCTGGGAGGAGGTTTCTTGGGAAGAGGCTTGTAGGAACACGCTCCAAGTCTTGACATATCACCAGGCTGTAACACTGATTCTGGTGTTACAAATTGTTAATACTGGCTATTACTGGAGGTACTTCCAGTATTACTTGTAATAATTTGACAGGTGTTGCAGGAGACTAAGTATAAAACCTGCAAACACAAACACTTGGAAATCCTCAAGTGTTGGCCTAGGATCTTTACTGGAATGGTAGACTACTAAGACAGCGGAAGTCTTATAAGTGAGAACCCGAGCACATGAACTTGTGGGTAGTCGAAGGTTGAATGACCTGAGTACATAATTCTGTGGAAAGTCAAGGTTTATAATAGAATGGCATTACAAAGATTTATAGCTCTAGGGAAAGTACCTGTTTGGCAAGTTGCGCGCTATGCGACCCATTCATCATACTATAGGGTCGCGACTGTTCGCGTGACTGAAGCGGTTCGTTACACCTATTCGCGTAACTAAAACGGCATGCTGGCATCATTCACTAGACGCGCGATGCTTTGATGACGTCATCACTCCGACCTATTTCCTTACCGAGAAATGCGATACTGCTAACTACACCAAAAACGGAACTTGCAGGAATGCAAAACTTCATTTATCACAACACTACTTACTACTTCAAGTACTTGTGCCTGTAGATTCTTTACTTGTGTCTCCTGCACCACTCGTCAAATTCTTTCATTAGCTAGGTAGGAGAAAGTATCGAGAGAAAAGAGGGGTGAACTGTTAAAGTGAGAACTGAATGATAGACTAGAAGTGGAAACCTAGAACAAATACTAGTTGGTTGTACTCACTAGAAGCATACCTTAGTCTAGCCCATAACTTCTACATAGCTAATATGTATAAGTTGACACACCCCCTAGGCTAGACAAGGGGTGAAGTTAAGCAAGAAGCAAACAGCTCAGGGTGACACTACTAGTCCAACCACTGAGGCAGGGGTCTGGAGACCAGTCACCAAGAATACAAACAACACTAAAGCAAGCCAGGGCGGCACTACTAGTCCAGCCACTGGAGGTAAGGCCACAAGGCCGGTCTGACAGGCATATATAATAGAGAGTACACAATCAGGATCCTAACAGGTGAGTAGCTACAGGAACAAGACCAAGCTGTACACAGTGCCGCTGATGATCTTTAGGCACAAGCGCCTTAGTAAAGATATCAGTTGTGTTGGCACCTAAGGCCAAGTGAACTACGCGGGCCTGGCGGCGCTGGCATAGCTCGCGCAGGAGGAAGTACCGCAGCTGGATATGCTTCGCTCTGCCCTCAAGCCGAGGCTCTTGACACAGGAGTATCATGGCCCTGTTGTCAGCGTACAGGACCGGGGCAGAGCTAGGCCGCTCACCTAAGTCTGTGAGCAAGAAGGTCAGCCAGCGGAGCTCCTGTGCCGCCATGGCACCAGCGTAGATCTCAGCCTCATAGCTAGACTGAGCCACAGATGACGAGCGAGTGGATCTCCAAGAGATAGCACCCGAACCAAGGCTAAAGCAGTCGCCCTGCGACGACCTAAGCGTCTCAGAGTCGTCTGCCCAAGAAGCGTCTGTGTGCCCAGTAAGGACCACTGGCCTGCGTCCTCCTAGCACTAACCCCATGCCCGATATACTAGCAAGATAACGCAAAACCCTCTTAGCGGCAGACCAGTGCTGAGGTCGGTGTCTGCCTGTAGCCACAAAGCGAGCCAGGATGCTGAGAGGGTATGCGAGATCTGGGCGAGTGCAAGTCATCAAGTACATGAGGCAACCCACCAGCTCTGCGTAGGGGCCACAGGGCTCTACTGGCTCTTGAAGAACGGGAGCGGAAAGCCCATGGTCTACAGGTAGAGGTGTGGGCTGTGCGGAGGAGAACTGAAGACCAAACCTCTGAAGGACCTGACGCACCAAGTGTGACTGTGTCACAGTGTTGGTGCGGGCTGCTCTGCCCCTAGAGATCTGCAG